GAGATATCGTGATGTCTTTACTGGGCTAGTGTAGCTCATTCTTTATTTAATCATTTCAGATCAGGAAGACATTGTTCTCGAGCCGGTTCCGCAGGAGGACGACGAATGAGACGCTAAAGACTCCATAGTCATATTCGTAGCTTTTACTTTCAAGTTTCTCCTTTAGGTAGTTTGATCTTTTATATTTTGTGAACACGTTTTTGGTTTTAGTGTAAGGAATGTTAATCGAATTTTTGACTTCGCTTCCGCATTTGATATTTTTAATATACATTTCATTTTAAATTTCCGGGGCCGTTACATTATATTTGCACGTATAAGAAGGATATTAACATCACATGTTGTGAATATGGTTGACATCCTTACTTTGTTCTATGAATTAAATATAACAAAATTTTATCGAATTGCTTCCGTTATAATGGAAAGGATATTTGACTAACGTGTTCTAATATTATTTAAATATCCACTCATTCACGGCATTTTGATGCTAACATATGATGTATTTGCTCGAGCTTTTCTTTTGTATTTTGTTCTTCAATTTACATTCATAAATATTATAATTAAGTTGCATATATCTTAATTGGAGAAACTTTATATATATCTTGTATTTCATTAATTATTAATCCTTAATAATTTTTTTAATATGCTTTGTACTGAATGGTTGATGCTTTTTTTTTATTAATAGATATATATATTTTTTATATAAAAATAATAATATCGGTAAAAAAATAATTTGAGAAATTGAGGGTCAAAAGATGTTCATTTTGGGAAAAAAACATCAACTTTTTTAAAGAGAAAAACAGAAGTATAGTTGGGAGCTAAGATTTAGAGAGACTATAGCTAACCACGTAAGAAAAAAGAGTTGGATGAGAAATATAGTGAGAAACAAAAACATAGCATGTAAGAAGAATATTTGAAAAAAAAAGGGAGATTTTTTGGAGCTTATTTTTAGATATATAGTAGTGTGACAAGGGAAAAAATAAATATATGCCAGGTTAAAGATATAAGAACATGATAAACAATTAGTAGCTCATGGTTCTTTATACTAAGAGTTTATTGATCTTTCAAGGCATTAATAAATGAATTGTTTAGAAAGCAAGCAAATAATTTATTATAATATTGTGATATAGCTATGTATATTTTTTACTTTTTTAATAAATAGTATTTGATTGCCTATTAAAAATAACAAAATTAATTTTTCTTTTTTTTTTTTCATTTAGAAGTTAAATGACTTTTTGTCTTAAAAGGTGATTTAAGATAAAATCAAACATGCAAAGAAACTAAACGATAACCAAAAATAGTTTCATAATTAAATTTAAGTATCAATCAAAATTTAATAACTAAATTAATAATTACTAAAAAAAATGATTAATTCGTAAAAAATTAATAGATTTCACGCATAGTATATATTCAAACACTACACGTACGTGCGTGTATTATTCCGAATGCTAAACATTGCAAAGACATTATTCTTTAAAAATGGATACTTTTAAAAGTATTTTATACGAAATGCATGTTCGTATTTTTTAATGTATTACAATATTATTTTAGTTATCATCTATTTGAATTTTAGAATTAACATTAATTGCAATTAATAATCTTTGTTATTGTTAATACTACTTTGCAATTCTGAATTTATTTATTTTTTTAAAAAAATTATAATAACAAACTGATTAAAACAAGTATAATTTTCTTAGAAAGTAACTTATAGGTCAGAAACGTATACCGGCCCTTGTTTTTTGGTTTGGGTTTGCAGTGTAATTTGAAAATTGGGTCAAGCGTTTTGTGCAATTGCTTATGGGCTCAGAATACATACTTCACTTGAACCAAACATCGGGATCTCCGATTCAAAAAATGTTCTCATCTCCGTCGAAGAAGGAAAACCAGACTTACCGCTTTGTTTTTCCCTTTTCAATTCTTACTTTCCGGCGAACCAAACAACCAGGTCCTGTTCTGTTCCGTCGTCATCTTTCTGTGAATTGAAAGAACATGATTGATCGAGATCAATAACAGAGCCTCTCGTTTCTATTCCAAATGGACAAAGAGGTGGTACTCCTCTCTCGCCTTGCCGCAAACCACCTATACTTGGCTCAATTCGAGCCATTAAGAGCCACTTTGCTTTCTCTCCGGAAGCGAAGTCCGGACCTTGCGCTTGCTATTCTACAGACAATCGTAGCCAGCTCGGGTCGATTTGAGAACATCCTCTGGTCATCATCATGCCCATCGCCGTCTCTCCTCACATTCTTATCCACACTCGAGCTCATACAATTCAACAACTCTACTTCACCATGGGGATACGATTCCGACACACTGCGCCTACGCGCAGAGTTTCTATTGTTGGTGCAGCTTTTGAGCGACCGGGTTTCCGGGATTATGAGGAAGGGCGTGGATTTGGAGAGAGTCGAGAGGGAGAAGGAAGGAGAGCTCATGAGCCAGAGCGGAGGGTTCGAGGAGGAGAAGAACGCAGAGTTGTTGGAGAGGAGGGAAGAGTTGAGGGATTGGGAGGGGGGCAGTGACCTGGGGGATTGTTTGAGGATTTTGGACAGGTTTTTGGAGCTGGGTATGAGGAGATTGAAGCCCGATATTGACGCTAGTGATGTTGGCGATGGGGGTCAGAGGAGGGAGCTTTCAGGGATTGCTTTGATTCAGGAAGAGGAAATGGTGTGTTTGAGAAGAGTGGTTTTAGAGTGTACGGATCTCTTTGATGCGTTATCTTGGAATATACAGAGGCAAATGAGAGGGTGGGATGGTTGCCATTCGGGTTTGGCTATAGCTGTGAGAAGAGACGAGAATCTTGGTGTGGATTATTCAGAGGAGGAGGATAAGAGGCTCCTTGGCTCGCTGCAGAGGAGTATTCAGTCAGCCCATTTGGATGCTATGAAAGTCTCTCTCAAGGTGGGAGATGAACAAGGAGCTATAGCTCGTATTCGTTTTCTTCATCTTGATTATGGACTGGAGGAGGCTGAGTATCGGTATGTTTCCTCTAAAAAGCAGAACATTTTTAAGAGTATGCATTGAACTCACTTGTTCTATAAATAAGTTTATCGAACACCTTTTCTTTCCGTCGTCAATTCTTGTTATTTTCACGTGTATAAATTCATGTAATTCTAGAAAAGATAAGAAGAGAGGTGGAATTAAGAGGGAACATGAAAACTGATCTGTTTACTGTGCACACGAAGGAAAAATAGTATGAATCACATGGCACCAAGGGAATGCCCTTAATGTACAAAAGGGTTGCACATATTTTTCAGAGAAGTGATAATGTTAGGGAAACGGTGCTGCTTGTGTAAACAGAGGTTACATCTTATATCTACAAGCTCACTTTACCCTATGTTTAGGGAGGAGGAAAGTTAGTGGAGAAAAATTAATAAATGTCTCACATTTTCTTAGAAATAAAAAGATTTTATTCCTTGAGTTTGAGAAGAAAGAGTAAAAGCAGTTTAAACCTTTAGGTCCAATTAAATGTTATTATCAACTATCCAACTTGTCATTTTATTAATAAATAACATAATTGACAAAATTTTTATAATTTGTCATTGTATTTCCTTTAGGCATCTAATCAAATAAACATTATAAGAATAATATACCTTTATATATTTTATCAATTTTTAGTTATCCAAATAAGGGAAATATTATTCTTTAAAAGTACTCTTCCTGCTTTCATTTCTTTTTTTCATATTTTTTACTAATTTTTGTTCAAACGTATGCTGAATCTTTCTCTGAGGAGAGATTGACCTTAAAACAAAGTAAGTGAGAATTGGTATCTCCAATTCTATTAAACTGATACCAAATGCCCTAAAAAAATTATGAGTCACCCAAATAATAGCAAAGAGAATGAGGGAGATAATCATTTTCCTTCTTAGCTCTAATGTTGTTCGAAGTTCATTGAACTGCAAATTGTATGAGGTAAATTAAGGAGATCAATGACTGAATGTCATCATTTTACTGCCTTCACACAACAGATGGTTAGGGAATTATTCGTAGGAAGATAAACTGGATAGCTGTTGACTAAGATTCTTCCTCTTTTTCTATAGTTACCTAGGGTGAGGATTTACCCTAGACTGTTTCCAAACTCAGGAAAAAGATGCTAGCACCATAAATCTATCTACTCTTCCCTATTCTCCAACCTACATTTAGCAATACTCATCTACTTTCATAGGTCACTCATATATGATATAAATTGCTTACTGCCATTATGCCAAGAAAGCCTAGTTTAGGGCCACTAAGGATGCAAAACCAATCTGCTCTTTGATAAAAGGTGATTTACAGACTCCCAAGCTACCAAATGATGTGTTTATTGCCCCTCCGAATCCCCCTCTGCTCCATCCCAAGAAACAATACTGAAAGTGTTCTTGTTATTTAGCAACCTTGGTAGGGATAGAGAAAATAGATAGCAAGTCAATTGATAGATTAGAAAGAATGTTTTTGGTGAGAGTTGGCTAGCCGTGTAATCCAGAGAGAGAAAGTCTAGAGAGAGAAAATATGTGAGCGAGTGGTTTGAAGTTGTTTCAGCTGGGAAGAAAAGACTTCCATGTTGAGAGTAAGTCTTCTAATATTGAGTTGGTAGAGGAAGACATCAAAGGCTTACGACTGAGTTAGAATGGTAGAGTTTTTCGTGTCTCGATTTTTTATGTGGAGAGGAGAGAGATTGGTCCATGAAATGCCTTAGGGAGTTCTACTAGGAGGGTGAGGAGTATGGTGGGTTATAGACATTTCTTGTTGGTAGCGGTAGGTGAGGATCACCATAGGTTTTTGGCCATTATCAAGAGAAGAAAGGAAGGATGAAGGAGAATAATCGTCACAGAAGGCCCTTAGGCAATGGTTGGTGACGGTCACTGAATAGTATTTTGTTAGTAAATAATAAATAGATAACATATTCTTAGTCTTATTTAAAAAAAAAAAAACATATTTTTGGAGTCATCACTGCCAATTTCCAACTCTTGAGAGTTTGTAGGATTTAGGTTTGAGGTGCATTTTGCTAGTTTGAATTGAAAAGGGAAGAGGAGAATACAATGTACAAGGCCTTTGGAGGATCTAAAAAAATCAATTGGAACCACCATTTAACAAGACCACAAAAGAAGATATAAAAATCATGAAAAGAAAATGGGCGATG